AGCTCGATATGCGCGTGCTATACACGGACCTAGGAAAAAAAAGTCAAGTCTCCAGCTCTTTTGAGATTGACGCGTTCAAACATATGGTCAGACGGACGGTCGGACAGACAGACGGACAGGGCCAAATCAACTCAGCTCGTCGCCCTGATCAAGAATATATATATTTTGTGGGGTCTGCCACGCCTCCTTCTGCCTGTTACATACATTTAACAAAACCATTATACCCTGATTTCCCATTGAAAATGGGTTCAATTATAAAAATTTCTATCCTATATCCTTAGCCAAATTAGGAATATACATTTTGTTGTGTATACATTATTTGTGTGCGTCATTGAAAATCGTACAGCTAATATTAATTTAAAATTTAGCTCTTAACTTCTGAAGTAAGCAACATTTTTGTACAAAATATTTTTTAAAAGTTAGGTTGTACAAAAAGGTTTAATATAATGTTCATAAAACTACCATTTTTCTTAAAATAGGGCAACACCTCAAACTGTACGAAAATCTAGTGTCACAGAAAATCGTACAACTGTTTAATTTAATCAAATTTCGGGTATTCCAAAAACTTTTCCAATTGAACCTAGCTGAGAATGTAGCTGGAGGTGTCTTTAGTGATTTTATGTTAATATAAAGTAAACATATCAATAAACCCATGATGATTTTCTTGTGTATGCAGAAAAGCAGCAAAGTACTTTTAAAATATCAGTTTCTCGATGGGTTGTGAAGCTCTCGTACTCGAGCAGCCTCAACTAGAGCTATGATAATTGATTAAATATAAATTATAGGGAGAGAGAGTTGAGCGGCACTGTATAAATCAAATTCTCATAACTTAAAATAATTGCAAAGAATCAAGTATGGGAAAAAAGGCTGAAACTTTTAAAATTAAAAGTATTTTAGGATTCTAACAAATTTAAAATTGTTTGTGTCGGGCTGTAAAAAATTTGCTGTTTGCGTAACTTTTTGAAAAATAATCTATTTATAATAAAAATATAGTGTGTTTATCAGGCAAAAGGATCCGTCGCATACCCCAGACAATGAATTAAACAAGGTGCCGGGCTGAGCCTATCGAGATCAATATTAGATCTATATCCATCAGAAAATGTATAAGGGCTAAATCATATTATATTCTTTTTGTCATATCTGTCGAGTCATATCTGTTAATATTGATTTATTATTTGGATATTAAAATATTTAGATATTTATTATATTACTTTAATGCCTGTTAATTTGGTTTTAATATAAACTATATACATTTTACACATATTAAACTGTAAGACTAAAATATTATTATAATTTTCAGATATTTCCTTCAAGAAATTCAGCTAGGTGAAACCTTGATAGCTCGTGGTGATTTCGAAAGCGGTGTCGAGCATTTAGCTAATGCAATCGTGGTGTGTGGTCAGCCCGCTCGATTACTACAAGTGCTTCAATCCTCTCTACCGGCTCAAGTGTTTGCTATGTTAATTATCAAAATGCAAGAATTCGGTAATAGGCCTGCAGAATCCAGCGAAGGATTGGTTGCTGGAACTCGCTCTAGCCAAAATGAGAGCTCTTCAAATATTTTAGAAACTTCCGGATCTGCAACCGTTGATGACTTAGAATAATACTTACAAATGAACAAAGGAGCCTAATATATAGATTTCAACAAGATAAGGGCTTCATATTATAATTTAATAAAGTTCGATACATGTGTAATGTATGAATATTAAATTTTAAACTTAACTGATTGTAATAAGCATAATTTGTTATTACATTGTATTCCTCCAACAAGCTACCTATTCATCATAAATTTCGGTCAAATTGTCCTCAAGACTGGTAACTATTATCTTCAAAATTTGGATTTACTTAAGTTGTGCAAAGATCTTTAAGAAAACTCCTCCGCCTTTCAAGATCGAATGCAAATTAGTTTTTCATTCGCAGAATCTCCTGAAAAATTTAATTTATTTGATGCTTGCACGAGTCAGTAGGAATGACGGCTACTGGGTCCATCTACTCTGACATTCAAAAAGTCATAGATGATGCGCGATAGACCTATCTATAAATGAAAACTTGGTTTTCCCCTATCACGCTTAATTTTTTAAAAGGTTAAGTCGATAGGTAAAACGGCAACTGGGCCCATCTACTCCTACATTCTAGAGGTCAGAGATAATACCAGCTGCCCATAATTACTTTGTTTTACCCTATCCCATAATGCAAAATATCCTATTGAATTTCATTTGATTTTTGATTGGAGTCTTTAAGAGGTCGAGCCGATTTTAAAAACGGTGATTATGTCCATCTACAAAAAGCTTTCATCGAAGCAACATTTATAAGGAAATCGCCCACTGTTTCAAATTAAATTTAGCAGTACAGACGGCGGCTGGGCCCATTTGCAAAGTTTTCTTCAAGAGAACCATTTATTAAGCCATTGGCATCTATGTTAAGCTGAATTTCGCAGTAAAGACGGCCAGTGGGCCCATCTGCGACAGCTTCCACCGAACCGTTGTGATAAAGCAATTGGTATCTATCTTCATTCGTCATTACTCCATTTACAAATTTGTTTACAAAATATTTATAATATTGCTAATGCAAACTCGACAGTAAAAATAGCCAATACTTGTCAAATTAAGACGGTTCCAAATCATCGCCTTTGAGCTAAATACATCACCGTTGCAGCTGAAAGATTTAATAATACAAGTGGATTATTAAAATGGGAGTATCTGACAAAGCTATAAAAATTTGGATATTTTTAGCAGTACAAAAATGAATTATGTGATGTTGCTTTTATTGCTAAAGGACCCCGCATGCTGTCCACCATTAATTGAAGGGGTAAGTAAGATTCTATGTACTATCGGTAATTATAGATTGAAAATGAAGTAAGTTTTCTTTAGTACGAACTATATTTATAAACAGAAAATTACTAATATTTAAAACCACAGCATGTAAATATCAATTAATTCCTTTCATTTTCACTTTGCTTACGAGCTGTGTGCAAGAACAATCAAAACTCGTTTGCAAGTAGTCTTAATTTGCAAGAAAAATCTACACATGCCCAAATTAACACTCACGTACACTGTTGAAATACATTTTGCATTGAGCTTGAGATAAACGTCCTTGAGTAATGAGGCGGATCCGTGAGAACGTGAATTTCTATTGTATTTTATTTTTAAGCTCCTATTGAGAATGGGGATCAGGGTACAATTGTTATGTTAAAACAAGTAAGAAAGCTCTAGTCGAGACTGCTCGACTACGAGATCCCCTGAACCCTTGGAGCAATAGATATTTCAATAATTTTTCGCGTCTTTCAGCTTCCAGAAGAAACACGCACACACACACACACACANCAAATATTTGCGTCAACAAAAGTTTACGTACTCTTATTTACTTGCACTGTCTGGCGTCAGCGTTCTTCTTAGAAATAACGGGGGTTTTTCGAAAAATGTATGCAATAATGAGTAAATTCTTAATAGTTGGCGTGTTTTGCTTGAGCTGGACAAAATATTTGAGTTTTGCAGTAAAAATTCCACAAAAAGAGTTGTCGCTTGAAGATCGTAGAAGTCTACTATACAGACTGTCATTGGTAGATTCAAATATGAAGGGCGCATCAAAAACAACAAGAGATCTGGTCGGCCACCTGTACTATCCGATCGTGACAAGCGCACAATAAAGCATCTGGTGGACAAAGATCCTTTTTGTAGCGCAGTGCTGATTGCGTCAGAGCTGGGTCGAACAATTGACAAAATTTAACAAACAGGAGAAAGCGCTTAGAGTTTGCCAAAGCCTACGTGGACAAGCCAATGGACTTCTGGCGGAAGGTCATCTTCTCAGATGAGTCTAAAATATAAAGAGCAGCTAGAACACAAAAATAATGAAGTGAGTTAAAATATAATGAATGACTGATAAATAAGACCCCATTTAAATTTGTTGGATAACTTTACTGGTTTAGCATGAATACGGCTTTAAAATTGTATCATACCGCTGCACGAAATAAGCTGTGAGCCACTGTATAGTGATCTTCAATGGGAATTCAGGGTATAATGGTTTTGTTGAAATGTATGTAGCCAGAAGGCAAAAGGAGACGTGGCAGACCCCACAAGGTATATATATTCTTGATCAGTGCGACGAGTTGAGTCGATTTGGCCCTGTCCGTCTATCCGTATGTTTGAACGCGTCGATTTCCGAAGATGTGAGAGCTAGAGACTTGAATTTTTTTTTTAAATGACTGTATATACAGCGCGGATGTCGAGTATGCTTTTAAAATTCAATAAATCATCCCGTTGTGTTCTTATCGAATTATAACATTAAAGTTCAAGTCAGATGCCACTATAGCTCATTCTGAATGTTTTTTTAAATTTCTCAAATATTCAATATAATATGTAGGTCATATGCTGGAAGATTCATTAAATTCCGTTCAGTCAAAAAATAATAAAATATTTGGCCATTTAATAAAAGAATGTGCATCAGCTACAGCAGTATTGTGTGCACATATACATTCAAACTTCTAGAACATTCTTTGAATCACATCAGCTGTTAGTTTGGTTTAGTTTTCTGATATGCAAGAAATCATGTTAGTTGAAGAGCTAGAAAGCTGAAATTCGGTATGTAGGTCCGCGTCGACCACCCAAGATCACGTGCTATGGCGGATATATCTCCGCCAATTGGGGGCGTGGCAAATCAGATAAAATTGTATCTCAAAAGAGTTTTACATATAGAGCGTTGAAATTTTGCACATCAGCTAATGTTATGATTCTATAAAGTCTAAAAAGAAAATTATAAGTCTGTGCCCATTAGGGGCGTGACAAATCGGACCTGAAAATATAGTGATTTTTTAAATTCTGCTATATTTTGGACACTATTGATGCCAAAGATCTCAAATTTTGTGTATATACTCGGGCTGATCAGTCAAGCCCAAAAAGTTTTGTCGGATATATGTCCTCCCACAGGGGGCGTGGCAAACCGCAAAAGTTTATATCTCCTAAAGTTTAATAGCTAGAAGCTTCACATTTAAATAGTTAAGTTACCAGTAACCTCCTCTATTAATGACCTAAAATTAATTTTTATGTCTCTTTAGGGGTGTGGCATATCGAAAAATACACTGTAATTTTCACATTTTTTGAGGGCAAGCATTCAAAATTTGCAGTTAGGGTATCGTTATCACGTTCNCCCTTTAGGTCCAACACGCCTCGCATGAAGCCTCTTGTAAATTTAACAAACAGGAGAAAGCACTTAGAGTTTGCCAAAGCCTACGTGGACAAGCCAATGGACTTCTGGCGGAAGGTCATCTTCTCACATGAGTCCAAATATAATATTTTTGGCTCAGATGGGCGTCTCCGCGTCTGGAGGAGACCAGGAGAAGCCCCAAAATACAATGAACCCCAAAAATACAATAAAAATCGTAAAACACTGCGGCGGAGGTATTATGGTTTGGAGTTGCATAGCTGCAGCAGGAGTCGGAAGTTTGGAATTCATCGACGGAGTGATGGACCAATATGTGTACATTGATATTTTTTAAAAAAATTTAAAGAGCAGCGCCGAGAAACTTTGAATTGGATCTGATTTCTGGTTTCAACAGGACAATGACCCAAAACAGAAAGCAATGAATAATAGGTTGTATCTCGCGTACAACACTCCACACCTTTTAGAGACGCCACCACAGAACCCGGATATCAATCCAATCGACAATGTTTGGAATATGCTCGAAAAAAATAAGGAAGCACCAAATTAGCAACAAAAACCTCCTGCGAGAGGCATTAAACCAAGAGTGGTGCGCGCTGGATCCCAAATATATAGAAAAACTGGTGCTTTCAATGCCAAATCGCCTCAGAGAGGTGATTAAGATGAAGGGTTATTCCGCAAGATATTAAATTTGAAGTTTAGTTAAAAAGATTTTTCCTTATAGTTAGTAAGTTTATATTAGTTTGTAAGAGTACGTAGACTTTTGTTGACGAAGACATTGGAGTTTCTTTTCTTTTTAATTAATATTATTATGTTAAGCTTGAAATTTCACAGTTTTTCTCTTTTAGTTTAGAAGAAAATATATTAGTTTATAATCCTGCATTAAAATTTTTTAATTTAACAAAAAGTTGGCCAAGTTTCAGGGTGATTCGCGCAAGTAGAATAAGAGTACGGTGACTTTAGTGGCACACTGTATATAATTTTTTCCCCTATGTAAAAAAAAAAAAAAAAACATTTGTTGTATTAGTATTTTGCTGTAACTGTATGTTAAGGCATTTCACTAAATTATAAGAAACAGATTGGAATGTTTGCCCACCTGTTGATCCAATGAAATGAATGTACATACAGTCTACTCTTGTTATTTCAAACCTGCGTTATTTCGAACCACTCATTAATTCAAAGTTATCACTCAGTAATTCGAACTAAAAATTATTGCTAAGACGCGGTAATTCGTACTCATATGGTTAAACACTCGACAATTCGAAATATTTTAAGAGTCCCTTGAATTTCCTTGAATACATTTCATTGGTTAATTTACTACGTTGAAGTGTTTTTATCCGTCATAGTAATTACTACAATATTCATATAAGACACATTATACTTACAGGATCAACGAAGTCCATATTCAAATTATAACATAACTTTTGGATTCTTGAGGTAATTTTGTCAAAATGGATTTCTTCCTTTCGGCCATCTACAAAAAGTTTGATAACAGGCTCTTCTTGTATATTTATAATTATACACATATGCAGTTAATGTACCTCTCTTTATAACATATAATTTCGCCGATTTTAAAGAGTTGGTCTTGATCATCGTAGCTGTGGACACCGTAAAAATACGCAAAAAAAAAGGCGCCAAAATGCTTATAAATGGACAGTTTTCGATAAATACCAGTCTAATAAAAAAGGAAATGCACTTCTGCAACTATTTTGGAATTTTAGAAATTAACGTCAAGATAGCAGTTGAAAATACACGATTTCAGACGAAAAGAATACACTGCGCGTCATTAGATTAGCGCCCACTTACACTCATTTTCTTTTACGTTTTTCTCTTTGCCTGTTGCATTGATTTCATTATCATCATATGAGATGTCTCACATATCNATTTATATTTGTTTTTTTTTTTTTTTCATTTAAATTTAATTTCAGAAGTATCAAATTACTTTGATACGCAGGGTCCGAGCTTTTCACTGGAGCCACCTAGTAGAATCGAGTTTTTAAACACGGTTGGAAGCACAGTCTCTTGTATTGCTCATGGAAATCCTGTTCCAATAGTCCAGTGGCTCGATAAGGAAAACAATCCAATCACATCCATATCAAAGGTATGATCCAAATATCTATATCTATGTTTATTTTATGTCATATTTGCTTTAAGATACACCTTTAATAAATCTGGCATGGAAACTCTGATGAGTATATCGATGTATTCTCGATTGAGACTAAGGCTTTTCATAATAACATATTGATAGCGTAGCAGACCTATGAAATTTTGACTTTTTAGTTAGTATTGAACAAATTCTCTTCAATATTGGCACGAGAGTTACGAATTTTTAATTCAAATGTCTTTGATGAAAATACAAGAAACTGGTGATTGCACAGTGGACATTTTTTAGAGTTAATATTTTGGACTTAGCTATTGTCTTCTTCCACACTTTTTTTAAAACCAGCAAGTCTGCTGAAGCTCCGGCACCTAATATCTTTCAGCGGAACTTCGCTCATAATAGCATAATCGTGGCCGTCTTACATTTATAGAGAATTCTTTAGCATTCTTCATAGTTGAATTCGTAAGCCAACTATCCTGATCCTGCGACTTCAGCCTCTAAGCCATTTGATTGCATTTGCTAAATCAAACATTCCAGCAGAGTTTTTATATATTTTTATGTTGTAAATTTCTTTATGGAGAAGTTTTTTTTATGTTGTCCAGCTTGTTAGGTTAGTGCCACTATATTATGATCGATTAAACAATATGAAAGATAGATATTGGATTATCGATGTGTGTTAAAGCGTGAAATAGGTTTTTAAGGGAGAAAAGTATTATTTAAATAAATCCGAAGTGTCTTCTAGTCGTATATCCCACAGTCTCCTGCTTTATTAAATCTGTCAGATACTTTATCTTATCCATACTAACAATTTCAATTGGCTGTTTGTACTTGAGCACAGCTATATCAAAGAAACTGACATCTGAAGACGTTGCCGTTTGCAAGGCTCTTACCACGTGCTTCATGGCTGAAAGTGTGTCTGGGATGGTGGAAATTGCAGATAAATTCTTTGTTAGGTACTCATTTACTGTTTGGGCCATGCGACCTGTTGTATTAGCCATCCATTCGTGATAGATGCCTGAGGGATCAGTTTGGAATAGATGGGGCTTGCCATCACAGTCAAAGCCCCCAACCAAGCAGGCCACACCGAACGGACGCCGGCCAAAACATTGAGTATAGTTTTGCTTTAATTTCGCTAAAAATCTACAGAATAAAATTCTATAGATCTATAGAAACAAAACCTACACATCTGGTAAATCGTATTTTAATCAGACCTTGCTATATGTTCCACTCTTGCGGGACTATTAAAGTTTAAGCGATGACTTTGAGCCTCCATCTGTGCACGATTTGCTAGAATTCGAGCGTCGGCTGTAAGACCCGCAAAAGTCATTGCAATATGCTCATCTATTTTTTTTATTTTATAAGATGTTCTTTGGATTTGTAGCACATCTATGGCCCTTTTTTCTGCACCTAAAATAATGCATTCCTGAGTGCACAGGCCCACCTGTACGACAGAGTAATAAAAACGCAAAATTTACAAGAAAACTATTTCTACTATGAGAACCATCTTTATTTTTAATGATTCTTAGCACTTACTACTGTGGAAGCCTTGCGTACCGCCGCTTCAGCGTATTCTACTTGCATTAAATGTCCATTCGGTGAATATATATTCACGGCCTCATCAAACTTCTTTGACATTGGCTTCATGCTGCATTTGGGGTATTGCTTTTTTGATAATATAATGTTGTATATTAGTGATCTACGACACATATTGTAAAGTTTTATGAGAAACTGAAAAATAGACTAACAAATATTTCCAAGCTTTCGTGATGTACTTTAATAGGGATTGGTACGAATATTATGTATATACTAGCAGTCCCAGCAAGCGTTGCATTGCCCTACCCTTATTTCTAGGTAAAAAATGATTAAAAGGWATGTTGTTCAGGTTGGGRTACACTCTAATTAATTTATTAATCAGATTTTCATTCAAGCACCTTGTGGTAAACGACATTCTTCGTTTTTTGGTCGGGTGCAAGAACAAATAATGCGGATCGTTTGCCAACACGTGAGCATGCCACGTACAATTGACCATGAGAAAAACACGCATTTTCTAGATTGAGGCCACAAATAGTCAAAGATTGGCCCTGTGACTTGTTGATCGTCATGGCGAAGGCAAGACGAAGCGGGAATTGAATTCGTTTAAATTCAAAGGGCATATCTGTTGAGCTCATCGGAATCCTAGGAATAAGAACTTCCTCATCTTTAAATTTTCCTTTGAGTAGTCAGGTCTGCTCGAGGTCAGGAGACCGTAGACTGACTGACTACATTTGTTTATTTACTTCTACACTATTGTCAAAACTGTCACTGTTACCAAGCCTACTGGGTATAAAAAAAATTTGAACATTTGGGGAAAAAACCGCGTTTTTCAAGTATTCGGCAAATTTTTTCAGTATTTTTAAGACCCTATACTAAACTCGTTGCGGAGACAAATCCAACAAATCAAAAACCATGAAAATTGGTTCAGCCCAAATCAAGTTATAAGCAGTCTTCACTTTTACACAACTTTCTTTTATATATATAGATTTGCTGCGAAATAACTATATTATATTATTAACTATGCATGATTAAAATTGTGTTTATATAAATTTAAATGCTTTTATAAATTTGTTTTAACARGTAAGAGTGCAGTCTGGACTAATAATTTTGCGTTTCTTTTATGAAAACATACACACATATGCATCCACACGCACGCATAAGCAGCCGCACTGCTAACTGCGCAGTAATCAGTGACTGCGCTTGGTTGCTCTGCAGTGTGGGCAATATTATGATAATTTACTTGTTGAATAATTTCTTTTTTAGACGGGCAATCTTAATCAAACTTTCAGAGCGTGATTATATGGTTAAAATGGTTCTAAAGCATAAGTCACGAGTACTTGAAATACGTTTTTTACAAATTGGCGGCGAAGGGAGCGTGGTATCCAAAATCTGTAAATTACAAAATCTTTGTATTCAGCATATGTATATACATATGTACATAGTAAATATGAAGTCTCCAGTTCTAAAAGTGTTTAAATTAGTTTGAAAAACAAAATAATTTTTCGATTATTTTTTATAAAAAAGTTATCGGATGAGTTACCGAAAACATATGATAAACTTTTACTGCGTACGGTATACACGAGTATGCATGCCAAATATCAAGTCTCTTGCTCATATGTCTTATACCGACTCAGCTCATCGCCCTGATCAAGATATATACTTTATGGGGTCTGCGATAATTTCTTCTGCCCGTTACATACATACTTTTCACAAAACCATTATACCCTGATTTCCCATTTTCAATGGGTTCAGGGTATAAAACTGGAATACAAAATACCCCATAGAGTATAGATATGTTGAAATATTAAAAAGCTTATTTACTGAAAAGCTAATGTTATATTCAATTTTGTATATTCCAGGTTCAACATATTTTCACAAATGGTTCACTACATTTTCCACCATTTGCAGCAGAGGAATTTCGACAAGATGTTCACTGGGCGATATATCGTTGCTCAGCATCCAACAGCGTGGGTACTATAATATCCAGGGATGTGGTTGTAAAAGCAGGTTTGTGCTTCTATGATCAGTTTTTGTCCAAAACACCAGAATTTTATTCCTACTGGTTTTTCTCCCTTCCGCAATCCCAATAGGTATAATGTATAAACAATTTTTCTTTTCATTAAGTACATATTATCTTACAATTATATGCCTTAAATATATTAAAGGTGGGCGGAAAATGTCAGTTATTCGAGCACAACTCGTACGCTTAAGATACTAGAGTCACGAGCCTTTATGTATAGGCATTACAAAATTGACTCTTGGTCTTAAAATAGCATTCGTATCGTACAGATCTAAAAAGATTTTTAATATACTCACGTCATTTTTGCAAAAGAAGCACAGTCAAAGTATGAAATGGATGTACTTCTGCTTCCACTCTGACTTACTACACTACTTATTGTTTAATATTCCTTATTTATGATATTTACAAAAATTATTCACTTATTTTCTGCTTTGACAAGAGACAAACAGGTCCACACATACCCACATGCACACCTATGCTTAAGCACGCTGTAGTGTGTGAACTTACTTGTTTAATAACTTTTCCTGCAGATGAACTATACAATACACTGGTGGAGTGTAACAAGAAGGTTATAATATCAAGATCTGAAATTCTATATTCTGACACTCCTTTTGCCTGTACCATTTTAATTGGGTTGACTGTCGAATATTTTCAAAATATCGTATCGATGATTGTTTGAAGCCGCCGAGCTTTTTCGGCAACGCTGGCTCCAATCATTTACGAAGGCACAAATAAAAGTCAATACGATTTAATTTAGCTTATTATTTATTAATTTAAAGCCGAGTTTGTGGTAGCTGTTTAGGCAAAGTTATTTCGATGCGAGGGTGACAAATTTGTAGGTGTTGCGCGAATGAAGACTATTTTTGTACAGAGTTTAAAGAATAGAAGTAAGTAGGAATATGCAATTAACAGAGCAGCCGAAATTTACATATGTATGTGTGTTATGCTTTGTTATGTGCATGAGTGCACTAACAGAGAATGAGAATGACAAAGACAAGAGATTAACTTAAGAGCAACTTATTAACTATTAAGAGCAATTATTAGCTGCTGCGCCGAACAATGATATTTTAAGTTTCGAAAAATATCAATATGAAATTTGATATGCAACTTAAAAAATATCGATATGTCAATATTCTTCGATATTAAAATAAAAACGTTTTGCCAATAATAAATTTATAATCCGTCAAAAAAAAAAAAAAAAACAAGAATAAGTATTTTTTATTTCAATATTAAACGGTTTTAATTTCGTTGATTCTTCAAATCTAATATAATTTTAAGATGCTTAGAATCATATTAATAGATTCTTACAGAACCACTATATTTATTTAAGTCCGAAAAAATACAAATTTGTATGGAAAACTGGAAAAATTATCCAATAGAGTTGCTCGTGTTGCAATTCTCATGTTGCAATCTGAGCACAAACTTAAAAAAATACTTAATACAGAAGTAAATGCAAGGTACAATTTGAGAAATATAAGGTAAAAGTATTTAGATAAGATTTTGGAGGCTTTGCATGTATATGCCCCTTGAATTCGGGTAGAACTATATCTCTATCAATTTGAGCGTGAATGAGTATTAAATGGTCGCTAAAGACAAATTGTAACATATTTATTTATTTTTATTTTTTATTTTGTAGTGGTCTATCAGCATTATGAGCCTGAAGTGCAAAATCCTGGTGGATTTATTGGTAGTAATGTTCTTATTAAATGTAACATTCCGTCGTTCGTCAAGGAATACGTAACAGTAACTTCCTGGTTGCAAGAACCAAACTTTAATATTTATCCATCTCTAGAAGGAGGTAAGTGCATTCTAAAGGACAATTATTGTACCATTTCTTTCACAGATTTTATTTGTAATTTAATGCTTCTTCAATGAAGACGGTAAAAATCACATGCTACCAACTGGGGAACTTTTACTATATAACATAACAAGAGATGATTCGCAAAAGATTTACCGCTGTCGAACACATCACAAATTAACACAGGACTCAAAAGTCAGCAGTAATGTTGGCAAAATTCAGTTAACAGGTGGGTCTAGCGATATTATCTAATATATGTATGTACATTTCACAGAGAATCACTTAATGATTTTATGTCCTGAATTAAACATGGGTAACAAGAATAGAGTATGTATGTACACGAATTTCGTGGTCAAAGCGGTAAACATGAGTATTTTAATTTAATGTTAATTTAAAATGCTGAGCGTTAAATTTCTAATTAAACTTATTAGAAAATTTGAAATATTGAGAAATCGTCTGTAGCAAAGTAAAGCCACTAGCTGCTCTTTAACAATTGTTTCTATGCTCTTTGTTTGTGAAACGTCAGAGTTGGGGGAAAATAGCTAAATTTTGTATGGTATGTATGATTTGTTTTATACAGATTAGTATTAAACATATGTATGTACCAACTTTACCAATTATCTGTCAATTCTTAGCTGATCAACAAAGTCTATTCTTATGGGCTTGTGATTCATAAGTACTTATGTATGATTTTAAAGATTTTAATTGAGTTATATTATTCTTCCTTATTTTTTTAGAAATGCGAGAGCTTGTTCCCCCAATATTGAATGAAAAAACAAAGTCTCTATTTGCCAGAGTTGGGGATCCATTAGTTTTAGCATGTGTGGCCTATGCAAACCCAAAACCAACTTACAGGTATGATGTCAAAAATGAAAATTACTGAAATATATATATAAATTTTCTGCAAACAATTTAGCTCTTAAATTTCAGAATCTATATGCTCTATATACTCTCTCTCTCTATATACTCTCAGGAATCTTAATCTTATACTAAGAGGAATCTTAACAACATACATAGTTGGTTACTGTTAACCTCTCCATCGATGAGCCAGAGATAATTTTGGGGGTTCGGCATTGTTTATATTATACTAGCTGACGTTGCTTTGCCCTATCAATTATTTCTAGGGAATATTTTTTGTACTTAAATACAAAATAACTAATTTACTATAAGTGTGTGGGGATGCCGAATGTCGAAAGCGTTGTAAACAACCGAAGTATGTTTTATTTTTTTACTAATAATAATGACATTTAAAAGAAAATTCAGATTCATCTCTCAGCGCAATGGAATCCACAAATATTCATTGTGCTTATTTAACAGAGCGTCTAGTTCGCTGACGATGCGCGTTGCAAAAGGTGAATTGAGTTGATTATAGTTGCAACGTGCATTCACGGGATTGGCGAGTGCGCGTTCGGAGTCCTCGCCAACCATAAAGTAAATTTGTAAACATTTATAAGGTTCGTTTGGCATTAATAGCAATGAGCTGACTTTGTGGTAAACTTGGCCTTTGGAATTGGAATTAAATTGTTGACTATTTGCAGCAGTATTTTTAACTATTTCCGTTGCTCCAAACGACGTCCTTTGAAAGCATGAATTGAATTTTCGAATTGATTGCAAGAACAGCGAAGAATCTGGTTCAGAACTAATAAGGAAGCCGTGCAATGGTTCTGGCGGTGTTTCAATTTCTGGAAGTATTACTCTTCCTGATAAGCAACACATCCCGATCGGCTCATTTTTAAATTTAAAGGCATAGCAGTGCCAATGACCACTTTGGAATGAGCGTAATATACAACATCAGGCTCATACTGAAATGCTAGGTGAAGAAATGAATGTGATGTTAATGCTCGAAGTACTTGTTGACGTTGTAGGTCAATTCCTCTACGGCTATTGACTACGAATCTTCGCGCTTCTCTTCGTTCTAATGGTCTTTGCTGGTTTCGCTCATCTCGTGCCTCCTGCAATTGTGATGCACGTAACTGCGCTATGATTACACGGACATCTGCATTGCTTTGATGCCTTTCTTCATCTGATCTTTGTGCTCTTCTATCTTGCATGCCTCTAGATTTGAGGGTTCGACTACTCAAATTAGCCCCCTTGCGTCTTTGTGGCATTGTTGTCTGCTAATCAAACATACAATTAATCAAGTTGAAAAACTGTTTGGTGATAACCAGTAACATAATATTGTATTTGATTGCTCACTATTTGCCTTACCTCTTATACTAATAAAACACGTATATTTATTAATCATGTCCGCGTATTAATAATAAATAAACTGTTATCAAGCCTACTGAGTAAACTCTCACTGACAATGCAAAGATCCTCAATAGCAATATGGAAAATAACAAATTTTTCAAGTATTCGTCAATTTTTCAGTATTTTTATACCCCGAACCCATTGAAAATGGGAAATCATTTCCGTCCGTCCGTCCGTATATATGAACGCGTCGATCTCAGAAGATATAAGAGCTAGAGTCTTGAAATTTTTTTCCTAGGTCCGTGTATATTACGCGCATATCAAGTTTTTCTCTACATATCAATAACTACTCCCGATATTTTATCATCGATCAAAAACCTTATCGAAAGCTAGTTATTTAATTATATCTCCTACA